TTAAGCAAGGCAATAATGTTAAAGAAACCGTGAAAAACGAACAGGACTGAAGGAGACCGAAGATGACGAGGTTACAGGTAAATTCTTGAAGATGGTAATTGTCAGGAAAGCAAGAAGCTGAGAGAGAGAGAGAGTGGGAAATAAATGGGAAAGAAAAAGCATTGGGTTAGAACTTACGCTTTTGTTTAAACTTTTTACCGCAAGCAAAGGCGGGACTGTCACTAGCACGCATGGGGGTTGCAGAAAATGCGAGTAAGAGTAAAGATGCATGATAGATGAAAGGATGAAGAGAAGGACGGGGAATAGATCAAGGCATCTGGAGATGTCGATTGACATTGCATTTGAATAGTTGGAGATTATAGCTATCAGGGAAGCAAGTAAGAGGAAGGGAGATTCATAGACGGGAATTGCGAGACATGAAGCTATTGGAGTAGAAGAGACGGCTACTTTTAACCGTTTCGACAGTAAAAAGAGTGGGGCCCAGATGAAAATGACATTGTTATCCTCAAAACATTGTTAATGTTGTATTCACTCGGAGAGAAGTTTTATCCTTGCAATCCAAATTTATATTTCGGTTTTAAATAACCCACACATACACCCTTCTGTAAATTAATTGAAACAACAGCTTTAGTTTCTTTTTCTTTCACCATAAGGTCAGTTTTATACCCACTGGAGTGATAAGGAGAAATCGATTTCTATTTTTTCTTAGATTAGGTCATTTGCAGTGGTGAGCAGTTATATGAATCTATTTTCGGAGTCTATGATGAAATTTGTTTGGCGTTGAAAAATGTTGCGTCATCCGTCATATTATCACGCCCATACACTACTGTCTCGACTGCCGATTAGTTGGCCTATAGCCATTGCCTGCGATGTACATTACTCCAAGGAAGCGTACGAAAATTGTAACGCTGCACGAAGACACTGGTAAGCCTTACCTGTGAGCAAATTAAAGTATTATAAACTGGTCCGGAAACTCCCCTGATTTATATCCAATCGTAAATCTGTGATCAGTTTGCAAGGAAGGACTTCGTAGAATGGACATACGAAGTGCCAACATGTGCATTGAGAAAATAGAAAAATATTTAAATAATAACGTCATTATTCGTTTTGTTTCAATTAATTTGCCCAAGGGCTTGGCGTAGTAGGCTGGGCTCATTTGATTTGAAAGAAAGAAAACACTGAATTCAAAACCAGCCTGGTTAGGGATAGGCTCCGTCAGGTTGTCTTTCCAAAAGACACAACTTTGCTGCTATAGCTGTGGTACAAGTTCTGTTCTTACGCCCCTAATTGATTACAGGACTCTTGCCTAAGCTTAGCGTTGTCCTGTACGTCATCAGGTGACCAGTGAGGGTCTATATACTATAAGACGTTGATTTTGCTACATCTCAACTCTTCTTCGTTTAATATGGTATATTTATAGGGGCACCCAGTGAGGATCGAAATCTCTACTCAGAAATGATAATCAACCAGATTAGATTAGCTAACACTTACTTCAGGCTGAAGCTCCTACAGATTAAATAGTCTGTGATACCAACACTTGATCGAGGCGGAAGACAAAATCATAACAGATATGGCACAAGGACATTTGTGTAAAAGCTCCCAGTAAGCGACAAATTCCCTAGAAAAGTAATACTTATTAGCCATCCAGTAGGATAACATATCGTATGACACAAAAGAGCTTATGTATGGAGGACCAGTGAGGAAATAATTCACTTGAAAAGTGACGGTTTGCAAGACTAGCTTATTAAAGATTGATTCATGACTGAGGACACAAACGTAGTGAGATATGTTACAATAATCTACTTGTAGGTTTGGGGAAGTGAACATTGAATTGAAAAAAAAACTTCATCTATCTATCTATCTATCTATCTATCTATCTATCTATCTATCTATCTAAAACAGATGTCTGTATGTTTGTCTGTCTGTCTGTTTGATACATTTTCACTCGCGATCCATCCAACCGATTTTGAGCAAACTTGGCACGTACATTGTACAATGTAATAGACAGGTATTTCGCGTAAGAAATCAATACTTTTTTTAAAAAAATCAATAATCGATAAAGACGAACAAAAAATCGATGAATTCAACTTTTTTCCTTCGATTTCTTTCAAACTCAGTATGTAGGTTACTTACATCATGACGAGCTCACTGATAGCTCATTTTTATTTCTACGCTACAGCGTTTAGCGAAAAATCGCGAACAAAAATCGATTTCCACCCAAATCGATTTCAACACAAATTGTAGACTAAAAGCTCTCTCTTTTTTCAAGCAATCTAATACAAACTTCACTCAATTGTAGCAAGCAATAAGTTGATTGTCTAACAGTCATTTAACTTGAGAATTGACTTTACCTATATACTGAAAACCCGCGTAAATAGTAATTTTTACTGGTTTCTTTCTTATTTTTCGTTGATTTTTAAACAAGTTTTCATGAAACTTAACAATTGTTTTATAAATGTATTCTCTTTTACATCCCTGGCAGCACACTGATAAATTGAATTTCAAAAACTCCAAAATAATTGTGGTCTGAAGTGGGTCTTCATGTTGCCTGTTTTATCCCTTCATGTCCTCGGCAAACTTCGATTGAATAAATACAGACTATTTCTGTTATATCAGTAACTGCATTAATTCAGAATGTAAGTACTTTAAACTAATTGAAGAAGGTAAACTTTCTTAGATCTAAACATGATGCTGTTTTTGCTCCATTTTAATTGAACGCTCTTTCTGATCGACCAGCTGCTTATGGCTTTTAGATTTAAATAAAAAAATGACATTTTATATGTTTTACATTAAAATTTTGGATAACATTAAAATCGTTAAAATGCCCGTTCTGTTTATTAAATAAAAATAAAAGACGTGAGAACTTTTATATGTATAAAACGAATCTTTTTTAACGGTGTAACTCCAAATACATATTCCCTGCGATCAATGAACGCATTGCATCTTTTTCCTGTCATTTCTGTAGTTATCAAAACAATATTAAACGCTAATTTAGTAGAAGCCGGGAAATTAATAGAAGAAAGGAAAATGGATGAACAGGTAAAATGAATTGAGAAACACCTGGATAAAATACTTAGCACAAAAGATGAAATATATATTTGAAGTTACAATCGAAAAACTATATTTTCGTTTTGGTATTTGATTAAGATTGATTTGTATTTTACGGATATAAACTGAAAAATATTCTCATTTTCTAACATGACTAAAAGATTGCAGTTTTGTTTCAGAGGCGTTAAACTTTACAAGCTATTTCTTGCCCCAGTTAACAATTGATCGGAGCTCTTTTTCGTGATCAACTGCCAATATGACTTTATCGAACTAATCAGAATTACTATGGAGACAGTGTGTAAATGGCTGTTTACTATATTATTCAGTTAGTTTGGTTTGTGTGGCTAAAATACAAGGTTGTCCCCACTTATAGAATATTACCCTTGAAATATGAATTTTGTTAGTCTTATATTAATTGTTCATTCTTAGTTTCAAATAACTTGAGTATTTTTTTCATCTTTAGTATTGAAGTACTGGCATAAAGGTCATTTCTCCTACGTATCTGGTTGCTTAGCAAATCGCGTAAAACCTTGAGTAATTTTGCCGTCACGTCAGAAAAAACAACAAAAAACAGTCATGGTAAAGAAAAGATCGCAGACCATTAGTATTTTATTGGTCAAATTGATTTGTTTTTACGGCCTATCAAATAATTATTAGGTTATCTAAAGCTAGAAAAAACTTTACACTATAGGAATTTTTTGGAGTTAATGATTTTACTAAAATAAGTTCTACTAATCCTGTGTTTAGGGGCCAGAAAGAAAGACACGGAATACGAAGGTAGGTTGAACAATTTTATTGAAATAACAGATTTATACAAAGCAAGGAGTGTTAGTAATAAGCAGATAGAGGTGTACGTGTGAACGGTAGGTTAACACTGCATCTACACTATATTTAACAGCCCCCCCCCACGAGGGTTGTATGTGGCACACAGCCGAGTTTAACGTGGGTTCTCCAAGCCCGTAGGCTCAGCCAAAATTATTCCCTTAGAACCCGTATGAACGGGTTCATGGCCTGTCTACCTCCCCGGACGAAACTCTGCCCTTCGGCATAGCTTCGACCGGGTTCCTTTCTGCCAAAGCAGAGGGTTCGACAGCAGTGGTACACAGTCAGAGACTGCGTCTACGCTCCCCAACCGGCTTTCGCATTTAGTATCTATTAAAGGAGGAAGAGTTCATTATACTGTAGGAGGGTTTACCACAACAGACAGATAGATAGATAGATAGATAGATAGATAGATAGATAGATAGATAGATAGATAGTGACCTGTTTAGGGGCGAGAAAGAAAGACATGGAAGAGGAAAATTAGCTTGAACACGTGTATCGAAATAATATATACAAAGCAAGGGTGCTAGTAATAATCGGATAGAAGTGTACGTCCGGACGGTAGGTTAACACTTCGTCTCGGCTGCCCACCGACTGCTCCCACACACACTTAGTATTTATGCAAGAATGAAGGTGGGTTATTACAACAACTAATTAACCCTTAGCTGTAGAGGAGAATAAGTGAATTCACACGTTCCCCAAGGGTATTTGCACGTAAGTAAATATAACGAACCCCAGTAGAATTTTAACTAAGCTCTCCGATTTCCAATTTTGAGTCGTTATCCATTACACAAACCGTATATCCAAGCTTACATCGTCTGTTATTTCCAAGCGGTCACTCATCAGTTACAAAACAGGATCGGTGTTGCTTAACTTTGGTAACCATACAAGAACCGCTGTTTCAATTTATGTATGGACGTAAACCTCCGTTTATGAAACCCTTACAAGCCGTAGAATATTTTTAGATTCCATAATATTTATAGAGATAATCATATTACTGATACGAGTTCTACAGTCACTCATGAAGGTACCGACCAGCACGATGTTACTTAACTTCGGTGATCGTATTAAAACCGGTGTTTCAAACTGATATGACGGTAAACCCTATCACGAGCACATCCAAGCTTAACGCACCTGGTATTCCCAAGCGGTCACTCATCAAAGTACTAATCAGCTTGCTGTTGCTTAACTTCGGTGATCGTACTAGAACATGTGTTTATGTGATATGACGGTAAACCCTACCACCATCACATCCACGCTTAACGCACCTGGTATTCGCAAGTGGTCACTAATCCAAGTACTAACCAGCTTGATGTTGCTTAACTTCGGTTATCGTACAAGAACAGGTGTTTATGGGATATGACGGTAAACCCTACCACTGTCACATCCACGCTTAACGCACCTGGTATTCCCAAGTGGTCACTCATCCAAGTACTAACCAGCTTGATGTTGCTTAACTTCGGTTATCGTACTAGAACAACGCGTTTATGGGATATGACGGTAAACCCTAACACTGTCACATCCACGCTTAACGCACCTGGTATTCCCAAGTGGTCACTCATCAAGGTACCGACCAGCTCGATGTTGCTTATCTTCGATGATCGTTCTAGAACCGGTTTTCAACTTCATATGGTTGTAAACACGGTCACATCGAAGCTTACAGCACCTGGTATTCCCAAGTAGTACCAAGGTAACGACCAGCTCGATGTTGCTTAATTTCGGTGATCGTTCTAGAATCGTTGTTTCAACGTGATATCTTCATAAATCATACCACGATCACGTCCAAACTTAGAGTACCTGGTATTTCCAAGTGTTCAATAATGAAGGTACCGACCAACTCGATGTTGCTGAACTTCGGTGATCGTACTAGAACTGGTGTTATGGCCTTAAGCTTTCGTTGACGAAAATCTTACAAACTTTTAAAAAGCTATCAGACTCAGGAGGGAAAATATTCCATTAATTCAATAATAAAATCGTTACAATACTTGGATCTTTTATCGCGGTTCAGTATTGGGCTGTTATATAATGTCTGACCACCAAGATAGCAGGCCACGCTATTCGAATGTCAAATGGGGTTAATGTCTGCATCAGGCAGGTGATGAAATTCGGCTATCAGTGTAATGACAGACGACGGAAAGCGTGATAAGGAATTGCAAAAACGCATAGAAGAGTAACGAAAGATAATTTACAGAAGACGAATAAATTATTGAATGTTCGAAAATAATATTAGAAAAGAAGAAAACAATTCACGCTTGCGACGTGATGTCTACCTTCCGATATGACATTGGATGCTGAATTCGCCAGAAATGAAGGAAAGCGTAGACACAGTCGTCATGTTGTTTCTACCGTTGATTGTTTAGAATACGATAGAAAGAGCATGTAAAAAAAGAGAATAGATACAAAAAATACAGTGCTTATAACCAGAGAGTGAGAGACGAAACAAGAATTATATATATATATATATATATGTGTGTGTGTGTGTGTGTGTGCACGCGCGCGTGAGTGTGTGTGTGCACGCGCGCGTGAGTGTGTGTGGTGTTCGTGTGTGTGTAAAAGTATACACAGAGGACAACAACGAGTGGCGACAGTCTGTTTATGAAGGTGGCTTGAATATTGAGTTCAGCTTGAAACAGACTGTCACTATTCAATTTTGACGACTGCGTCTACTTTCATATATATATGCACACGCACTAACCCTAATACCATGCACTTTTACCCTATAAATATGGATCACCTTAAAAACATATTTTATCACACACACACATACACACTCACACACACACACATATATTTATATATATATATATATATATCTGTTTGGATTGGTATTGCTTTTATGTCCATCGTCTTTTTCATGTTGAATTGTATATGGTCTATGTTAATTATGTTTTATGAATATGTCCTGAAGATGGTCTATTAGACCGAAACGTCCGACGTTGACATTAAACATTAAAACAGCATAATCGCATATTAGGATTTTTGTTTGTTTTTTTTCAGTATATTTTCTTCATATATATATATATATATATATATATATATATATATATATAAAAAAATTTCTCAGAGTTAACCTGTAGAGAAAGACAATATTGGTAAATGTAAAGACAATAGGAAAATTGTAATAGTTGCCGACGCGTTTCGTCCAATGTGGACTTTTTCAAGGCAAAAACGAAATACAAAGTAACTAATAATAACAAAACAAAATGTCATTAGGAACGGAATTATTCTAGTTGTTAAGGACATTTTGTTTGGTTATTATTAGTTACTTTGTTTGGTCGGTTTGACAGAAATGATTGTATTAAGTCAACTAATCGTCCTGTAATACCGTATCCCTGAAGCTTACGAATAAGGTCAACGTGACAAATCCTTTCAAGTGATTTAGAGATGTCTAGAGCCACGGCTCGATCTTCTCCATTATTGCTGAATACTTGGTATACAAATTCAGTAATGGCCGTGAGGACGTCAGCAGTAGATCGGGCAAAGCGGAAACCATATTGCTTGTCGGAGATCAGATTATTATGAGGTAACGTGCTTAACCACTTCGGCTTTGCATAAAGCCTCGAAGACTTTACCGAAGAGTGGTAGGAGACTGATAGGAGGGTAGTTAGATGGGTCAGAAGTGTCACCAGAGTTCTTAAAGACGGGCACAACAGATGAGGAATTCCAACAGGCTGGAAATCAAGAGTCGGTGAGGCAGTAGTTATAAACTTTATAGAGGACAGGAACCAATTCAGGAGCTCTTTTCTTCAGGACAATAGACGGTATCCCGTCCCCACCACCAGCCTTATGGGAATCTACTTTAGAGATGATGTCCAATACCACTATTGGGTTATGTGCATCTCACTCAGTAGGGCCTCAATTCTAGGGGAAAAATCCGATGTGGGTACACCAGCGCGTTTCGTCCTCTGGGTGAATTTATCAAGATAAATGTAAGAATTTTATTTTGTGACAAGTATTTATATACAAGAGCAAGTATAATAGTTCCCGTGAATATTCATCTGGTTAATGGTTAGTCAGTCAAGTTCATGGTGATGACGATACAATTCCATATCAGGAGTAGGTGATATTCTCAATTGAGCATTGTTGAATGACAAGCTAATTCTAAAAATAACGGTCACCGGTGTAAATGCGAAGTTCTTCAGTAAAATGAATAGAGCACTTTGGCTTTGTTAACGTTTGTAAAAACAATACGCTAGAGTTGGCTGAGTCATACTGTCGAGTGAAGATGGCTCAGTGGTAGAAGATCTGACTGACACCAAATCGGTTGGGTTTCGATCCGGTTTTGAGGCATTCAGTTGTCTAGTGGCAATGTCTTCCAGTTATATATATATATATATATATATGTTCGGTTCGAAAATCCAATTTCCTGAAGAAGTCTGATGCGTAAAATGGCTGAAACGTCCTGAAATTGGCCACACTTATGATTTGTGTATATAAAATAAAATCCTTACGCTTGCCTCGATAAAGTACCCCAGAAACGCATGGTCCAAGGTAAGTTTTCCTTTTGTCTTTTTATATATATATATTTCTTAAAATTAAATGAAACGCTAAACGCACACTTATACGCCCAGCAGCTGCAACGTGTCACTAAATATTTGCTCTAAAAGCGCTCTGCGTTCGACAAGGTACCGTGTACAGAAAGCAACACTTTAGGAAATCGGTTTGTCTGTTCTATTCCATCTGCCATATTCAGCAACCTGATATTACATTTTTCAAACGCTTTAGTGGAAATGAGACTTTTAACGGTAATATTAACCGCTTCCCTACAAGGAAGCATTTTGCATTCGTTCACCGGGCAGCCAGTACTGGTTTTGGTTGAATTTGATAAAATCTTTCTCTTAAAGCACTTTTTAAGAAAACCGGTTTCTCAAGTCCAGTAGCTGTTATCGCTCTTTCCAGTCATGATAAGAGTTTACTTCCAAACCTTCTATTTGAAGTTCTGTGTAATGCTAACATCTTGATTAGTTCATCATTTTCTTTTCTAGTTCCATGTGCTATACAATTTTATTTTTACTGCTGCTGATCGTCCTCAAGTGATATGTTTCCTTTTATTTGGTACAATTCTTTGAGATTCTGTAGTGACATTCCACAATGTTCAAAGAAGAATTATCTTTGCCAAGACCTGCAGGCTTTAATCACACAAAGCCGTTTTTGCTATTGCTCTTAGGATAGCTTAATGACAACCATATTGAAGAAATAGTCGAACAGTTTTTGAAAACTTGTCAATTTTTACTCAAAAAGTATCGTAGAGCTGCCTGATAAGTGGCAACATATCGTTGAAAATAATGATGAATATATAATTGAATAAATTTAATTATATTTTATTTTCTGAAGAATAAAGTAGATAAAAATAAAACAGAGAAACGTGGAACTTTGCTCCCACAATAAACGTAATGTCATCAGGATGGTTTTCCCCAAGCCATTGTTTTTTATTTTAACTAACGTCGCTGTTCGGCAATGTGTTTTAAAAAGCGACGATTAGAATTGTAATAAAACCTAAATATATGATGAAAGTGAATTCATACATTTTTTCTTCTTGAGAATTTACAACAAAATATTAAATATTATTCCTTTGTTAGATTATTTATTTAAAAGTATAATTTTATATTTACAGCTTTCTAAACCCTAATAAAATTGTATTATGACTAATGCAATGCAAATTATTATCATTTGCCAATTTATAAAATAGATATGACAATTATTTTTTATTCATAAACATTTTACTAAATTGATATAATATATTTACGAACTATATTTTAATCCTTATTATTTACCATTTTATTAAGTTCGAATCAATTGGTAATTAATCAATGTTTTGCCTACCATTCCAATAAACAATATAATAGAGTGAATAACTAATCTAATGAATAAATAGTGTTTATTATTTTTATCAGTCCCCCATAAACAAAGAAAATGTCAAAAAATCACTTACATGAGTTTAGGGTTTATTACAATTCTTATCATCGGTATTAAAAACAATAAACATTAGCGAACAGTGAAGCGAGTTACAATAAAAGCGGTGTCATTGGAAAAAAAACATCCTTTTGTTTTGACCCTCGGTTTTATTTGTTTTTTTTTTTTTGTTTTCTTTGTTTGTTTCTTGCTTTGAGAGCACCAAGGTCCATGTAAGAAAAAGAACGAAAGTTCGTAAAAGAACATTTATTCCTCAGGACAACAAGCGAGCGGAAGTAATGGTGAAACATGGTCATCCACATCCCGAA